TCCAAAATGGGTGAGATAAATACTATGTCAATTACTGCTAGCAACTACGATTAGAGAAATAGCAATGTTCTACTAAAACCTGAGAGCATCTGGACTGGAATCATAAAGGTTCCTGCAGGAATTGGTTGATTAGTGGAGTGGTGCAGCCGAAAATCTCTCACTGAGACAGCGGCGGTCAAGGTGATTGATAAGGTCTTGCTCGCTAGTAATTGTTCCGATAGGAGCTCGGATTGCAAAGATTTCCCAGTAGACGAAGGATTCGTGGGAAAGAGGGAATTACACAAATTATTTCCGAGTGCAAAACATTTACAACAAGTGATATTCCAATTTGCTGTTGACATTCTAATTTGTTAAGCAATCGTTATGGAAAGCGGCAAGCATTCGGAACCTGTCGGAAAATCCTTCGAGTCCCAATTAACCTTAACAACGCGAAATTGAGGTTATCCATTGTTTGTCTACTTCAATACAGAACCAGTGCTCGAAGAGTGGAAACTACCGAACCGTATTGGTATCACCTGTCATGGCCCCTTTTTCACCTTCACTAGAAGAATGTTCCGTCGTCTGAGCTTACATCTAGCTGACCCCCAGCCCTTCCTGTTCCTGTTACATGGCGTCGATTTCGTTTCTCATGCTATGAAAAGAATCAACAGAGAAGATGATTCAACGCCGAGTGGCACACTATTACAGATGCTGCTAAGAGGTCGGATCCCGGCTCGATACCCGCCTAGCCCAGCCATATCTTTCATCCTCGGTCAGTTGAGAGGATAAAAGCACAGACTTGCACATTGGTTGGCCAAGGCAACCGATTCTGTGGGTCCCTTCAGACGCTGGGCAACTCCCTATTGGCCACAATGAGCACTTAGAGAATCAACCTTGTTGAAGATCAGGTAAGTTAGTAAACTTCAAGTTAGGCAGAACTATTGTTAGGTTCATTTATTTATTTAGAGTAAATTATTTATTTCTCATAAAAATCTGATTTGGCAAAGCGAAAGTAATCAGAGCTTGATTCGGAGTGGTGGACAATTCATTTCTTCGACCACTTCTTTTCATCAGAATCTTACTCTTCATTTGGGAGCTATAGATATTTACGAGAAGGAAATGGTAAAATCGGACTGAAGGCCATTAAAAGCTATATAAATTAGAGGAGGGAAGCTCCGTCGACAGAATGAGAGAATCTCTGAAGGGCGGAGGAGAAGGAGGAGGAGCAGGCGGTTACCGACTGTTCCTGCGTCGTTTCTCCGATCCGGCATCGCTGATGACCTCGTTGTCAATCTGTCTGATTAGCCGATCCCGTTAGTAATGACCTTGGCTATTCTGGTAGATTGGAATGCAGTGTAAAAACCAGCATGTGCCAATTGTTCAACAAAGCATGAATCATGCATAGCCTTGGTTGCTGCTCATGAGAACGCTCAGGCGCTAAAAAACGCCGACGAGGACGAATCTATTCCTATCTGTCACTGCTTGCCTATGCTATTGGAGANTGGTAGGTTGGAATGTAGTATAAAAACCAGCATGTGCCAATTGTTCAACAAAGCATGAATCATGGAAATAGCCTTGGTTGCTGCTCATAAGAACGCTCAGTCGCTAAAAAACGCCGACGAGGACGAATCTATTCCTATCTGTCACTGCTTGCCTATGCTATTGGAGAATGAATTGATAGTGGTTTATTTTATTCTTCGAGGGAATATATTTAGAGAATGCGCCACGCATCCTTTCCGTCTAGACAGAACACAAACGTTGAAGACATGGTGCTAATCAGTCCCGTTACCAGGATGCGCCTCCGCGTTCGACTTCCAAACAGGATCGTAACGGCGTTTGAATGCGTATGTGGCCTATACAATTAATTGTGATAGTCGAATGATGTACAAGTCAGTGTGTTTATCCTCCAAGCGAGTCTGGTACCCCGGATTAATCGACCCCGAAGGTATGGAAGACGGTTGGCTGGCCTAAGCCGATATCGATACAAGATCCGACCTGATGCTATCTTCAATATTATGTTTATCAAATAAACAATCGATCGTGAAGCCGTATATTCCTTTTTTCTATTTTTACTAGTCTAGAAACATTTGTTAAACCTACATTGAATAAAGCCCAGATCAGTCTGGGAAGAATCGGATCTTCCCTTAAACTCGCAGGCTATGGATCAGTAGCAGAAGTTGGGAATGAAATTTTCTCAGCGAAGGTTATTTTTCATAGCTCAAAATTTTAAATTCGAACTCCAAGCTGACGCTGAGAGGTCTTGGGGAGGGATAATGCCAGGAAAGCACAAGGACGGGTTCGAACCACGTAGAACGCTGCAGCTTTGCTTCCATCTCATCAATATTCTGAGAATCCATGGCTTTCAAGGGGTACTTTAGAGAACCTAATAATTCGTATCTACTGCTAAATATGTGAGATAACGGAGGTTTATTACACTTTTCAGCCAACTGGGGCTCTAGGACGAGATCCCCTTCACAATGTAATAAGACCCATCAATTAGATCCTCAATGACCCTTGACCCCTGGATACTTACAGCGCCTCACTACGTCTGACGTTGCCGGATTAGGCAACCCCATGACATTCTCTACAGTGCTGTGGAAGAGCCATGGAATTTACACCTCACTTCGATGGTTACAGCTGAAAGATTAGTATCCATTCATGATGTTTTCATATAAAACTTCAAAATAACTACTTATAATGAACAATATTCTCATAATAGTCTACGAGTTAAAGAGTGGATGCAGGAACCTAACCCGGAGACTAAATCCATGAAAGGAAAATGCAAAAACTCGTGGTTCTGACCATTTTCGGGAAACGATGTGGAATGAGCTTTGGATGCGCTTGGAGAACAAACTAATCAGTTCATTTTGAAAATAAGAAAAAAAAACTAAATTGCCTTTGATAATTCAAAGGTAAAATGACATTCCAAAATTAATCGTCTGCCAAGGATACCTGGGGCTCTATGTATTGCCGCACAAAATATTATAGAAAAGTTACAAAGCTTGTACTGTGCAGTAACTGGCGGTACTCATAGCGTAATGTTTGTAAGATGTTATATTACAAAGGATGAAGATTGAGTGCCCGTCGAAGCACTTGCCGTTGCCAATCGTTAGTCATCACTCGTACGGATTACTCACACTAGCACTTCATTCACACAAAAGCAACCCTACTACGCAGACTTCTCACAAGACCGCTCTTTCATAAAAAGCTATACAAAAGCTGACCATCTGAGCTTATATGCTTTCGGAAAACGAGAGTGAACGAGGATGGATTGGATTTCAAGAGGGGTGTATAATTCTTGAGAGCATGGTTCAAGAAAAAAAAGTAGTTTTCAAGATATCCCCTCAAAATGAATCTGTCGTATCAAAGTATATGTGGCGCTGCTAAATCGAAAAATTGCTCAGATAGGGCCTAATAGGGTTTCAAAGATTGTACCCACTTTATGCCACAACCAGAGGCTCTGGAAAGGGTATTTGGGTCTAGGTGTTCCCTTGCTACGGAGAGGGAGTGCCAAGAACTCAGAGGCAAAATGGAAGAAATGTCTGCGGAAACAGGGGAAGCAAAGGAGGGTAAACTGCAAAATGATGAATAGTAGCAAGAAGATGCTTGGAGTAAATTACATTTTTAAAGATGTGTTTTCATCGAATCCCTTTTTCACAATGTGAAAGAGAAGTCTGTTGTTGAAAACGTGGGAAAACACCCTCCCATGGAGCATGGGTTTAAACAGATCTTATGGGAAAAGCTCTAACACCAGCTATTCACACATAGGAGATTCGCACCTCTACCTGAAATGCTCAAAACGTATAGGCATGTATATGTACAGACAGGTCAATAAGGCGACACACCTAATCAAAAGGCTTCTGCTCTACCGCTGGCCGGCTCGTTTTGAGGATGTACAGGCATTCTAAAAAGTTTACAAATATATACTTCTCATTCCCAAACTGGGATGATACCGATGAGTGGAACCCAGTCTGGGCAAAAGGCTTTTCTAGGTCTAGTCGGGATTCAAGAATGAACAAAATTCTCAGAGAACTCGAGAGGTAGTTGCAACTGCTGAACACCAGCTGCCAGAAGGTGAAGACGGGGCTGTACATGGAGTAGCACCAGTTCATCTTATACCTGCTGGTGTAAGATGAACCTAATCCATTTACTACAATTGTTTTTCTCAACAATCATCCCTTATCAAAAAATACCTTCCCATCGTTACAGGCCGGTAATCAAGGCATCGCACCTGGATTAGCTACTTCATATTGACTTCGTCCCAGACCTTGAAAAATGCATTCTTTGGAATAACTGTGCCTACTGTGAAGCACAGTTTTTAACTCAAATCGAAAACCACCACCAGAAGTAGACGCGTATTATGCCNCCCCCCCCCCCCCCCCCCCCCATAACTAGTCTCCATATCCTTTCTAAGACATAGCCAAGCTCTGAGAGAACTCCTATTTTACCTGGGACACTACGGGAGGTAGGATGATGATCCTTCATTATTCCTTCCAGTCATTTTCATCGATTTAGATCTGGCTTATTTTAAATGTTTGCCGTTAACCTTACCCGCCAGCGTGTTAGTCAGACTTCATCACGAAGGCTCTAGACGAAAGGAATGCCATGCCTAGTGTTCCTATGGGGAGGACGATCCACTGGACCAGTCTAGCTCGCATCAGGGACGTATGGACACGTTAATGGCGCTAGCTAGAGCAAATCGATCAACAACGGGACGACAGAGGAGGCAGAAGATACAACTTGTTCGTAACTCTATTCATTTGGACGCGCTAAGAAGTAGGGCTAAGAAGGTCGCAACAGGCCGTGACAATGCTTAGGATGATTGACTCCTGGTGGATTTGGAGGTCGAGCTGTCTGCATGTTTGTCCGTCTACCTGTCTGTCTGCCTGTCTGTCTGTCTGTCTGTCTGTCTGTCTGTCTGTCTGTCTGTCTGTCTATTTGCAGAATGAAACAAATCAAGCAATATTTACATTATATTTGTGTCGTTACGAACAGAAAACCATTTATTCGAAAGCGATAATTCACTTCTTCTTCTTTCCCTTCTTCTTCTTGCCTTTCTTTACTTTTACTTTCTTCGCTTTAGGAATATGTGAAAGTCGTTCGACGACCATGGACCTACACATAATTATCATTTACTATCGAATATTACTGGTGAATAGAAGCTTTACCAGAACATGAGAAATCCGAAAATTTACCTCACAGTTCGAATATGTAGATAGGCCAGGAAAAGACCAAACAGAAACCCTACCCCAAAAAATACCAGGAATGGGGTCATTGAGTCAGCTTCCTGAAAATCATCCAAATTCTCCTTTTCTAAAGTTTTTGAAGAAATTTGTGATTTCTAATATCGATTTACTACAAATACTAATGGATAATGCCATCAATGTTGAATAAGTTAGGGACTTACATCCTGCGATGTGATTTTTTCCGTCATGGCGATCCGTTAATGGACGTTCCAACCACGACCTGTTCACGAAACGAACCGCACGACAGTGGCACTACACTAGAATTCAAGACACCCTCGTAGCTAGCTCGGGAAGGATACAAATTATCAGTCCAGTGGGTATTATGGTCAAAATAAAGCTGTAAATATTTACTTCTGGCTCATTCACTGGCTCACTTGTCTCAATTCGGAGTATGGTTGAGCATGAGTTCAAGTGGAACCTGTACTGACTCTTCAAACCCATAGGTTACCCCGAACCCCTTTACGAATCCCTGGCCCTGGTACGCCTAGCAGTCCCTAGCCATGGTCTTTGTTGGTAGAGTTATCGGCCACCTGCGGACGGCACACCTACCCAACCAATAACGGACTCGCACAGGTAACCTGGCCCCGCCCCTAACCTGCAATGGGCCAGAAAAGTTAGTAGTTGAGAAGAAAGGTATATTACATGCCAGTGCTAACATAACTTTTGGTCGAAAGTTATTGACTAATGTCCGGAAATCTCGCTGTGGTCCAGAACAATCCACTAGAGCGAGCCTTGCTGGTGCTACCTAAGCTTTCATTCGCTTGAAGGCAACAATTTCGGCCACGGGTATTACCTAAAGACGGACCTAAAGTCGAACACTGACAGATATCTGAATTCAAAGCTTTCTCGCCATAAACATGGTTAAAAGGGGATTTCCAGACAGGTCTAGGGCCTCTTCAAGTGCCCATGAGGCATCCTGAGGTGCCTGGAATTGTGCTTGTAGGGGATCTCAGAAAACTCCCATTGCGAGCTGTGCCTACGGATCCTCCACAGTGTTCAGCGTCCAAGTTGGAAGTGTCATCATTCTAATGAGCTCAAGCTGAATTAATCAACGGAAACTAATGTTTGGCCGTAATTCCAAGGGCCGCCAATTGTCAGCCCATTGAGGATCAAACAGCAAACTTGTACCTGCCGTGATATTTGAGTGACTGCAAAATGGAGGTCCAAAATGCAAATGGAATGAAAGGTCAGTACTGAGGAAGCAGTAAGGAGATGATAACGATTCAGTTCTTGGCAGAAAAACAAACAACAACTTGAGTGCCTCTGCGTTGAGGAGAGTGGTGATGCGAACTGAAGGGTGAGGTCACTTTGGATAAATAGTGAATTTCCTTCTGTATCTTCACTATCTCTTCCAGAAAGAGGAGAAGCACCTCTAAGTGAACAGTAATGAGCACTATATTCGTGACGCTATCCTTCTTGTAGGGTTTCCTTTCGATCGACATAAAAAAGGAATGAATCGCCAGAGTTTAGAAGGCCTAACACATCAAGACGAAAGGATCAAAAAGCGCCCATCTCTATTAGACTACCTCCCAGTAGGTTGAGCCAAACAAGACCCTTTTAGGCCTGAAGGTAATAGTTATTCCTCTTTACTCCCACGCCTCGAAACACCCTTTTAAGCTTTTTCGATCTCACATATATATTGAAGAAGTGGTTTTGGGCTCTCGAGAACCCTCAAGCTCTCGAATTTGAGTTCTCAATGCAGGATTATAATGGCGAGCAACAAGTAGCCTCGTTATACGGGCCGAGGATCAAGATTTTAGTCTTTCATCCATAGTAGCCATGTCATCTTACGAGTTGGGTAACGGGCGCCAGGCTCGTCCGAGAGCATAACAGCACTGACTCGTGCATCGGCTGTACCACGCTTGTCATTGAAAGGACATAAACGCCTTCAAACCCTACCACGATTCTGAATGGAAGTTGAGGGCGACGGCGCATCTCAAAAAGGTCGATGAAAGTGAGGTGCTGTTTTTTCCTCTATGTTCTTGTTTGTCAGCAGTCGCTAGGCTCCTATTCAGGTGCACCCACTTTAGACACCAGATGTGATGTCAAGACCCAACGGAGTAGATAGGAGGGCACAAATAGTAATTTGGGAGCAGTGACGAGTTGCCAAGCCAAGTCGAAGCAGCCCTGTATGTTGTCATCTTGAAATCGGAGTACAGATTATCGTCTTTCTTCTGTAGGCATCAGTTCCTGTGTGATATTTCTCTTCCCAGCCCAGACCTAGAGCCTGCAAGGATAACGGCAGTACATTTCAGAGTGACTACCGGCGGTCTACGCGGGGGTCTTTCACACTGAAAGCAGTATCATGTGATCATAGTCATAATATCACATCAGATTGATAGCTATTGGTTTTCTAGCCCTGTTGAATCCTCCTAATAGCTCTATTACCGTTAAAAATGATTTGTAGCAGCCGGCGAGAGTCTTAGAATAAGTTGGCTGTAGGAGAGATGAGGTAGATCAGATTCAATAAGAGGAATTTCAAGCTGCAGTAGTGTATCCCAGTTGACCTTTGAAGTGGATGTATAGCTTGCCAAGACCTATTTCTACGATGATTAGATTCTACTTACTATAAATCCTGGTATTCTCCTTCTCAGTGTAATTTACCAATACATAGTTATTCAGCTATCGGACAGAGGTGGTGTAGCGGAATACATGATTGTGAGAAGGAGGCACCTGGCGCACCATAACACACGGTGGTGCGCGAGTCCCGATCGATACTCGCCCAAGTCATCCAAGTCTTCCACCCCTCTAGGATCGGCTAATCGGTGCCAGACTCATCTGGAAGAGAAAAACACTGACTCGTACACCGGCTGCAACCGAAAGTCATTGTACAGGACACATACGCATTCAAAACACAACTACGCTTCTGATCACAGTCGAGTGACTTGGCGCATCTCAGAAAAGGATCTATAAACTCCAGGACTTTATCTTTTATCTTCTGTAGACGTCACAGAGGTGTACATTCACAGCTTTGTTCAATTTCAACTATCGTTGAGCTTTGATGTTCCGGTATGTGTTTCCTCGATGTTTTTCTTCAGCTATCTCTTATCAAAAGTCAGGCTAGAACAGGGACAGGGCCAATACAAAGCGCTTTTATTCTAATGCCTTAAGGATAAAATACAAACCCTTTTGGCCTCAGTCGATCCCGTCCGAGCGATGCGCCCCGCATTTGACTTCAATTGAGATCGTATTGGAGTATTGAGTGGCCTATATGTATTATGTAATACATGTTTGTAATATACATATGTTATGTAACTATTACTAAATGATACAATGCTCTGGCCAGCCGATGTTCAAGTCAGCGCTTTTATCCTCCCAGACGAGTCTGTTATAAATTAATCGACCCGACGAGAAATAGAAGGCTCGGTTGGCCCGGGCGGATATCAATCCACGATTCGAACGATAGTGAGAGAGACGATAGTTTGTGAGATAGGGCGCTACTTACCACTACACCACCTCTGTCCGTCCTTTTGATGCCTTACGCTTAGAAGACCTCTAAATTCACTAATAGTAAGGGATCATGGATGGTCTATGATTCAGTCAGAACAATCGAGTACCTTTCTCAAGGTTGTCTGGAATATTCTGATAAACATGGAAGACGTTCCATGGAACCCACAGAAAACTCCCGAAATTTTCCTCACCACGGGGTAAACTTAGGCTCATCGCTTTCAGCTGAATCGCACCTTTTTATATAAACAATACCGTTACTTCCTACGGTAGAGATAAACTATTACCGTAGTAGAATTCTTCGTAATATTATTTAGCAATTGTAAACAAGGAAAATCGGTGCTAGCTGTCCAGTACTATCATTACAACTCATTTCTACCGTAAACTCCTTGTTTTCGTTTATTTTTGCATTATTTCAAGAGACCTGTAATTGTAGGAAGGTCTGAATCTGCGGCTGAAGCTAGCCTCCCTCCCCCTCCCATAGGTCGAGTTCTAGTGATCTTAGGCTATCTACCGAGGAGACACGCCAACGCCTGCTTCCATTTCTTGTCTTACCAAAAGAGAGGCGTTCTTTTTT